GATGGTGACAAAAACAACCTTCACCTGAGTGTTGGGACATCTCTGGGCAGGCTGGTGGAAGTTGGGAAGGCAGTTGCATGATGACTGGGAGAGACTCATCTAAAATAGGAGAGACTGCTCAGAATGAAATATGGAAAGTAGGCTGAGGGAGCAGAGGAGAAAGTGATAAAGCGTTTAACACCATCTCATGGAATCAAAAGACCAGTTAGGTTGGAGAAGACTTCAGGAGGTCTCTAGTCCAACCACTTGCCCAAACCAGACTCTGCATGGAGTTTGGATATTACCCTGCTGCTATAGGGGTCAAGCACGTTTGGTCCTAACCATGAACCCCAATATAGGAAGGGAATGTGGTCAGAAGAGGAATTCAAAGGACAAATTCAGAAAACCCAGAGCTGGTCGCTACCAGAGAGTGCGAGGAGATGCTTCAAAGTCAAGATATTCCTCTGCTTGTTGAGCCTCTTTATTGATGCTATGTGTTGGGTGATGGTGGCATACTGGCAGTGGCCCCAGCACAGCTGGCACGCTGGGATGACCACATCGGGCGGCCGGTCTCTGTGTCATTACGTGCTTCACACCGACTTGGTGCAGATTAAGCATATAAACAAGATTACCGACCGTGATTTGTTAGTCTTTTATCTTATTATAAGGGGTAGATGTCAACCAAATCACTGTCCATGCCTGGACATCTGCTCTAGGGATCTTTGTGTACAATGATGATCCTATCCCAGGCATACGTGATAACTCATCACCCTTAAATATAGGGGATTTTTTTTTTCCTGCTACGTTCTGGTTTCCTTTAGAGAGAGGTGAAGGTACTGCAAGATGACTTGGGTTTAGAGTTTCCTACTAGAGACCCATAAATATCTCAAATATGTGGTTTGTGCTCGTTTGCTGGACTTGGTGACTTCTGACAAACCCATTCCCTTTCAGTTCACCACCTCTCCTGTTGCTAATCAGCAAAATGCTGCTTGGGCATGGGGTGAGCACCCCAAAAGTGGAGTCATGTGTGTTAGACCTTGCTCTGCTGTATACTTTGTCATGGGTGTTGAAGAGGGAGCATCCCTGGGGCAGAGCCTTGGCTTGATTTCCTCCAGTGCCACCTTCAAAATAAAATAGGCAAAAAAAATTTGGTTTAGTGTTGTGTGGCCCCAGGGGATGGAGGATCCCTTCTGACTCTGCTTGCTCCATCCCAAGTGATGCCACCTGTATCAGCTGTCCCCTACCTCATGCGGTCACCTCCCCAAGCCGTCGTGCCCTCCAGGACTCATTGCAGCCACCTATTCTCCCAACTCTTTCTTTAGCACTTTCTATTTATTAGTTGGTGCTTTCCATTTGGTAATTGGCACTAATTAGCTAAAAGGGGAGAAGCATGCCCTCCTCCAGGGCTACATGCTCTCTGGGGCTCCCCTTTTTTTTCTTTCTATTTTTTTTCTTTCTCCTTTTTAATACGCCACATGATTTTTTGTTCAGGAGCTAATGTGTGATATTGATCTACATAATGAGCCTTTTTGACAGTCCAAGCACATTTGGGAATAATTCCTTGAGCAGATGAAATCCTTAGGCCAGAACTGCTCGTTCTCGGCAGTTTCCAAATGAAACCACAATTGTTCAGAAGTGACAGATGAGGAATAGTTCAGGAGCTGGAAATTACATGAGCTGGGAACAGATTTTTTTTTCTCCGTCCCTTCCGGATGGCATGTGACTCACTCCAAATCTGCCTGGTAATTTTATACTTATCTCAAAACAGACTGTAAATACTGTTCCCAGTGAAGGAGAGGGTGAGGGATGAAGTCTTGCCGTCCTGCAATGTAGTGGGAGCTCCTGTGACTTCTCCCCTACAACTGCAGGGAAGGAGGAGTATGAGTCTTACAAGACACTGGTCCAGAGCTTAATTCAGGCCTAAACAAGCCCAGTCCAGGTACAGGAGGTGATGGTTTCTTTTCTTTAAGGTGTGAGTGGCATTCAGCCATGGAGAAATAGGAAGGAGGAGAGGCGTTGGTCCAAGCTCCCTCTGTGGTGGTTGGGTGGGGGATGATGGGGATGCTGACCCCCCTCCCCATCACTCAACCCAGCTTCTCTGGATGGGGGATGCAGAGTTTAGGGTGAACTCAGAGCCACCACCTGACTGATGGCCAAAGAAGAGGAGTCAGCCCCCAGAGCGGTCCCATCTCCCACAGCAATGAGTCCCAGAGGTTTTATGTCGCATGGAAAATACTTAGTTTTGACGGCTCTTCTTGTCCTTCTTGCTGCTGTGGGTTCAGCCCATGTTTGCAAACTGGGCGGCTCTTGCTTGGGTCAGTACTTTGAGGAGAGACCTCTCAGGAAATCCTCCAATGAATGCTCAAGTGTGGGGCTTGAAGAGTGTCATCTGCAGGTGTTTGCAGCTGGAATGGTCCCCGCTGCCTGCTGTGTGCCCCTGGACACCCCAGGACCACATGAGAGGGTGGTTTGGGTGGTGGTAGTCCCCTCCTCAGAGCAAACCATACCTCTCCTTGCTTGCATGACCAAGTGCATGGTCCTCATGGACTGGAAGCTCTTGTGTTGACCATGTGATGTGCAGCCACTGCTAGATGTATGAGCTGTGGCTCCTTGCTCCAAGCTGGGCTTTGGGAGTCTTGTAAACCTAAGTCTTGTTTGAAGAAGCATCCATGGCCACTTTCATCAGGCTGAAGGTCTCCTGGTTCTGTTTCCATCTCAGGAGACCATAGGAGAACCTCTCCGTGCCTTTTGCTTGCCTGTGGAGTGTACCTTTCACTTCTGTCCCTGGTGATGGTGTGGTTTGTGGAGCTGCCCTGTTCTGTGCCAAAGAAGGTGGTGTTGCAGTGACATGAAGGGGATGTCCTGTCTGTTGCTGGAAAACAACGTTGGCCAACTTTCAAAGGAGCGTGTTATCTGGGATGGATGCACTGGGTAGGTGCACATAGCAATCCCAGGAGCATCCATCTGAACATCATTAGAGCTGCCCTCACTAGCAATGCTGCATTTGAGGTGGTATCAGCTTTTCTTCATTAGGTGCACATCTTCAGATGATCTGGATGTCAGCTGTTGACATCCTTACACATTCATTCCCTGGTTAAGGGACAACTGCAGGGTTTGCTGAGGTTTTTAATTTGCTGTATGGGTCAGAGGAGATGAAAGTGGTTTGAGTTCAGTCTCTTGCATTGGTCGAAGAGCTGTATGTGGGGCGGTGTATCCATTCTCATGTGTTGGCTTTGGGAAGGGGCTGGGGATGTAGAGGGATCTGGCTTTGTTTTGCAGCAGAACACTTAACTCCTTCATGACCATTAACGGCCTTTCAGTACTTAAAGGGAGCCTATAGGAAAGATGGGGAAAATCTTTTTAGTAGGGCCAGCAGTGACAAGACAAGGGGTAATGGTTTTAAACTAAACCAGGGTAGGTTTAGACTAGATATAAGGGAAGAAATTCTTTACAATGAGGGTGGTGAAACACTGGAACGGGTTGCCCAGAGAGGTAGTGGAGGCCCCATCCCTGGGAACATTCAAGGCCAGGTTGGATGGGGCTCTGAGCAACCTGATCTAGTTAGCGGTGTCCCTGCTCCTGCAGGGGGGTTGGACTAGATGACCTCTAGGGGTCCCTTCCAACCCAAAACATTCTATGATTCTATGATTCTATGATCTGTGCCCTAAACAAGACTATCCTAATAGGGTTTGCAATGTAAGCCCCTGGATAATAGCTTCTTATATGCTAGCCATAACCTACATGTACATATTTAGGAGATGGCTGTGCTCATGGAGCAGAAACTGGAGGGAGGGATAACCCGGTCTGTCAGGATGCTTGGGTAGCTGAATCAAGCCTTAAAGCCGATGACTTAATTTATATATACATCTGTTTGCATTTGCACAGCCTTCTCTTTCTCTTCTGCTCTGTATTTTGACTTTAACCAGTAAGCAGATGTTAAAAACCTACATACAGAACATTTAGTGATTCAGGGGCACATCTCCAAGGGTTTGTGTCTTGGCTGGGCTACCTGCTGGTTTCTCAGAGTCAGTTTGCATCCTGAGGATGCTTTATCTTAAAAGCATCGTAAAGCTCCAATGTCTTCTATAGAGCCATTCTCTTGTAGAGCTCACGCTAGCTAGCTGGTGAGATGGGCAAGGGTCTTATCCCCCTGGAAGCACTGGCCCCTCGGAGCTGGGAAAGGACCTCTTCATGTTGCTCCAGCCAGCAAAACCATGGATCCACAGCGCTTGGTGGTCTGGCAGAGCAGGACTGGGTTTGGGAGAAGCAGCACCCATGTCTGGGCAAGATGAATGTGGGCTTGTGGCTTCCCTGGAGGTGATGCTTTTGCCATGGGAGGGGCTCGGGGCTGTGCTGGCTCCGAGCTCAGCCAGAGGGATAGCATCATTTCTTCTGTGGTTGCCAGTCGACTGGCTGATGCAGAACATGCTTTGTTGTTTTGCAGGGGTTTTCCCTTTTTTGCTCGTTCTAATCCATTTTTAACAAGGAGAGGTTTTAAAAATAGATTCTGGTGTGATCTCTGTTTCACCTCCACATGCAAACCTCCTCGCTGGACCACGTACAGTCGTGCCGTTGACTCAGCATCGTTTACTGCTGCCATCCTAGAGAAGCTTTTCAGTTACCATCCTCTTCTTCACACCCCTGTTCATCAACCCCAGCTTATCAACCTTATCCAGCACAGCTAACGCCGTGGGCTTTTTAAATTAAGCTTTTAAATTTTTTTTTTCCTCTTGTGCATGTGCCTGGAAGTTTTCAGCAGTTGGGTTTTGAGAAGGAAGATAAGTGAAATGTCTGTTGTTGTCCTTAGATGTAGGAATATTACAGAAATGGGACTTCTTTTGTTTGTGCACGCATGGAGACTCTAAATGTGACCACCCAGGCTTATTATAAACGTTATTGGATGTACAGCAAAAGTGTCCTGCCTGTGGTAACTGGTGGGCTTTGGCTACTGTTTTTTTAACCTTTTTATTATTACTGGGAAATCATTTCTTGCCTTTTTTTATTTTACTTTCTCAGGCCCCCTCTGTTCTCTGTGTCTCTCCTGAAGGGATGGAGAACTCATCGGTGGCATCGGCCTCCTCGGAGGCAGGGAGCAGCCGCTCTCAGGAGATCGAGGAGCTGGAGCGTTTCATCGACAGCTACGTCCTGGAGTACCAGGTCCAGGGGCTGCTGACGGATAAAACGGAGGGGGACGGCGAGAGTGAGAAGACACAGTCCCACATCTCACAGGTGGGCGAAGGACACGGTGTGGGGTGGGAGAGGGGCTGGGGCTTGTCGCCTGGGTTGGGGATGCATGTCCAGCTGAAGCAGCTTTTCAAGCACTGGGATGTAAAGCAGGACATAATAAAAGACTCGATTTGGGGCAACTTGCTTGTTCAGCCAGACATGAGGTCTCCAAACAGTTGGTAGAGGTCTCCTGCCAACTGGGTTTTGTTTTTCCATGGTCTCGAGGTGCATGCCCTGAAGCTTTTTGACTTCTCCAAGGTTCCCATTTATAAATGAAGGGCATTTCATTTGTAAATGACAGGTGCCTCTCTCCATCCCAAACAGCATGCTGCATCATCAGGGTGGAAAAATCCTGGAGGAATTGGGAAGAGCTGCAAGGGCTGCAGCGCAGGGTGCCCAGTAGTGAGATGTGCTCCCACCCTTATGCCCAGGGGTGTCCATGAAACAACCAAGACCAGAAGGTGAATCAAAAGCCTCAAATGCTCCCTGGAAGTGTAGGTTTTGTGGGCATTTTAATATGTGTAATAATGTGTTTGCTTGCTTCATGGTTGTTATGTCAGAGAAGGAAATTGCTGTATTTCAAAGGATGGGAATACCCAGCAAACAGAGGGATGGTTTTAGCAGGGATGTGGTTTGGTGTTATCATTAGGAATGACATGATCCTAGTTTGATTTGTTCCTAAAATGGACATTTTAGGTCCAAGACGCAGAGAAATGAAACCTCCTGAACTGTTGTTGTTCAGAGGGAAGTTGTTTGTATTCTGGTGCCACAGTGTGCTGGATGCGTGCTGAAGATGTGAACTGTGGAAGGGATAAGGAGCTCCAGTCCATGCCCTTGGGCTTGTAAGGCTGCCGTGATTCTCCATTTGTGATAGAGATGCTTTCCTACCCCTCAGAGCTCCTGGTAGGATAAAATATTTAGGTTAGAGACCACTTACATACTGGTTATGAGAACAAAATAAGATTAATAAGACTGAAGGGTCAAAAAGGTAAGGATATGGCCATCACTAGGTAGCTGAGACGTGTTTGAGCTGCTGAAGGGGTCTGCTGGTCTTTGTCTCTTTATATGAGGTGCAAGGGAGATGGATCCCGAGCAGACATCCCTGGACCACTTTGAATTAAGCCTTAACATTAGCTTGACAGCTAATGAGACTGCGTGGCAAAGCCAAGCTGGGGATACAGCGATGGGGCTTCTCCTGTGCCTTGCCCCATGCAACCCATGTGCTGGTGGTGGGGAATCACAAAAGCAAGTTGTCGCCAAGTCCAGCAGAGAGGAGCTTGCTCTCCACCCCAGGAGTAGGCCCAGGTGAACCTCATGCAGTTCAGCAAGGCCAACTGCCAGGTCCTGCACCTGGTCCGGGACAATCCCCAGTATCAGCACAGAATGGGAGATGGATCGGGTTGCATCATAAGAAGCATGGCCAGCACGCCAAGGGAGGTGATTTCCTCCTCTACTCCCAGAGACCCCACCTGGAGCACTGTGTCCAACTCTGGTGTCCCCTGTTCAAGAAAGACGTGGACCAGAGGAGGCCATGGGAATGGTCAGACACCTCTCCTATGAGGACCGGCTGAGAGGGTTGGGGTTGCTCAGCCTGAAGAAGAGAAGGCTCCAGGGAGACCTGGCTGCAGCCTTTTGGTGCTGAAAGGGGGCTTAGAAGAAAGATGGGGACAGACTTTTTACCAAGGTCTGGAACAACAGGACAAGGGGTAATGGTTTTAAACTGAAAAAGAATAGACTTAGATTGGACATAAGGGAAAAATTCTTTACTATTAGGTGGTGAGACACTGGAACATGTTGCCCAAAGAAGTTGTGGATGCCCCATCATTGGAACTGTTCAAGGTCAGGTTGGATGGGGCTCTGAGCAACCTGCTCTAATGGAAGGTGTCCCTGCCTATGGCAGGGGGTTAAGGTTCCCCTGCCTATGGCAGGGGGTTGGAACTAGATGACCTTTGAAGGTCCCTTCTGACCCAAACCATTCTGTGATTCTATATATGAAGGATCCCATTCTTACCTGATGTAAGAAGTATTATTCTGATTTTTCTGAGCTGTGCAGGTTTGCTGGAGCTGAGGATCTGATCCAGAGCTTTGGACCCTGTATATATTAGCTCAGTGTAAAGAAATTACCAATCAAAGAGACCTTTTCAAGAACAGATTTTGCTGAAGAGGTCTTTTACAAATTGAAGATCAAAGCTGTTAGAAGTGGGAGAAAATAAATTTAAAATCAAGTAACCCAAAGTGCTTTTTAGTGCATTTTTTTAACCTATGGCTGGAAAATGGCTGTGCTTGAAGCGATGCTTTGGAGGGGCTTCAGGTCAAACAGGCAAGTGCTGCTTTATTTAACATGTCAAGTTTAGAAATACTATTGAATTAGGAAAAAATGAATAGTCAAAGTTTTACAACCACTTGGCAGCCTGTCCACACCTCTGCCCATCTTCAGGACGAAAGCTGCCAATTCTCGCGGCAGCCCATGTACAATTTTTGCATTAAGATCCTTGGTTGCCACAACCAAATCCATCTTCCAGTTGTAGAAATGGGATTTTAACTTCCCTCCGTCGTCTACCCTGAAAAACAGGAGCAGCTGGGGGTTTTCTATGACAGTGCTAGGGGTGCTGCCTGTAAAGATGGTCAGGTTTTATTTTAAAAGAAAAATGAATAATAATGACATATCTGAACATTGAACCCTTTAAGTAGGCCCCTTTCAGTGGCATCTCAAATTAAGCAGCTAAATGTGGTTGTACCCCAGACTATTGGTATCTACATGGAATTAGGATTTCTATGTGAAGCTCCAGCAAAATGCAGTATTTCATATTTTTAGGGCTGTATATGGGACAAGAAGTGAGGACGGGCTTTTACATAGGTCACCTGCTTTTATCGAGCCATGTCTTAAGGGATCTGTTAGGAAGAAAATACCTGCTGTCTCCCAAAGATATTTTATTTTCCCACATCATACCCCAAATTTGTATAAGAAATAACCAGGAATTTTTATTTCTGGCCTTCTCGATCGCTTCTTCTCAAAGCAAGCAATAAGCACTCACATATCCTGCAGCTTGCTGGAGTAACCCTGGTGGAAGCCACCCTGATTGAAGATGACATGTTTCCTCTTAATGAGACCTGGAGGAAAAAGCATGGGGTTATGGTGAAGGCACTGGACTGAGACCAGGAAAATTGGTTTTAACTGCAACGTTCTGCTGGCAACTTAATCTTTAACTTTGGGCAAGTTACTTAATCTCTCTGCGGTTCGTTTCCTTGTGGCTGTACTAATGTTTTTCCTGCCTGAGAGGATAATCAGAGGATAAATCTGCTCACCCATGTGTGTGAGCTGCTCGGATGGTACCGCACCCCTGGATAAGTGTTCTCCGTGCTGGGGGAAGGAAGGAAAGGTGCGTTGTATGCTCCTCCATCCTCCACACCACTCGCAGTCTAGAGAATCCCGGAATGTGGACATGGCCATCATGGGGGTGTCTTCAGCCTTGCTCCCACCAGAAAAAAAGGGGAAAGTCAGAGGGAAAATGCAATTTTCTTTCGGCTCTGGACATAATAGTGGGTGAGCTGTACCTTGAGAGAACTTTCCAGGCATGTGGTTGCACTCAGAGTTGTTAAATTAGATATGCATAGGTCTAGCAGAAGGCTCTCAAGTGTGATACCATCATGAGCTTCTCCTGGTAGGTCAGCAGAGGTGGCAGGAGAGCAATGGGCAGCTCGTTAAAGAGATCATTAGAGGCAAGGCTGATGTTTCTCATCTGGTTGAGCTAGCATGGGCTATCCGATGAGGGCAGAGCTGTGCAGGGATGGTGAGCTGTTCTAGTGGTGGCTCTTCCTCTTATTTGTGGGCTCATCCTTGTCAAGAAGCTCTCAGGTAGTTGCTGTTTGTACTGAGTTGAATTTTCATTTTTCTTGGCACATCAACCTTGGTGGTGGCATCCAAGCGGTGTCTCTGGAGCAGCCAAGTCCTTCCAGGATGAACGATCTCAGAAATGGAACTGGTCACCAAGGTTCAGTCTCAATTTTGCAGGGGGGCAAAAAATTACTTTAGGCTTAAGCAGCATCTTTTATGTTTGTTTGCTTGATTTACTTTTTTTTTAGGTTTTTTTTTTCCCCTAGTATCATGCAACCCTTCATATCTTTGGGGAGGAAAACCCCCCAAATGACCCCAAATTGAATTATTTTAGTGGAGGCACCTTGCTGTCAAACCCTGGGGGAAACAGCAGGTCATATTGAGAGCTGCTCGCCTCTGCCATGGGCTCTGCTGTCCTGCTGACCTCCTGCTATGGCCAGGACGTCCCTTGATGCCCATGTCCTTCACAGGGGGATGAAGCTGGTGTGACAGCAGGGCTGCCGTCCAGGCTGCACGTCACAGCTGCGGCTCATGGCAGTGGCCAAACCTGCAGCTTTGAGCTCTGTTTTCTGTTTTGTTTAAAATAAAACCAGAGGGTGTTGGCAGCTCAGGACTCATATCTGTCCCTGAAGCAAACAGAGTTGGAAAAAGCAGAAAATTCCCAACTTCCATGGAAGACTCCATGGAAAAGAAAAATCAAGTCAAGCTGTCCTGGTGTGTACCAGGCACCTGAAATACCAAACACTGTTGGAGTCTGCAAGGAAATACTGGGAATGGTTTTTATTGCAAAGCATCATTTCAAGTGCCTTCCTGCAACTGTTCCTGCATCTCCCCTCTGCTCACCGTTGGCGGGTGGAGCGTTTCCAAGCCAAAGCCTTTGGGATCATCCTCAAAAAGGCAGGGGGCCACACGCATGCAGCGATGCCCGCGGCCGGACGGTGTTTGCTGTGTGCTGTGGACTGACACAGCAGTTTTTCCCAGCCCGGCTATTATTTTACACAATCCCTTTTTTTATCCCTTTTACAGTGGACGGCGGATTGTAGCGAGCAGCTTGATGGCAGCTGTTCCCCATCCCGAGGGAAGGGCTCGTCGTCTCATGAACGTTGGAGTCTGCAAGGAAATACTGGGAATGGTTTTTATTGCAAAGCATCATTTCAAGTGCCTTCCTGCAACTGTTCCTGCATCTCCCCTCTGCTCACCGTTGGCGGGTGGAGCGTTTCCAAGCCAAAGCCTTTGGGATCATCCTCAAAAAGGCAGGGGGCCACACGCATGCAGCGATGCCCGCGGCCGGACGGTGTTTGCTGTGTGCTGTGGACTGACACAGCAGTTTTTCCCAGCCCGGCTATTATTTTACACAATCCCTTTTTTTATCCCTTTTACAGTGGACGGCGGATTGTAGCGAACAGCTTGATGGCAGCTGTTCCCCATCCCGAGGGAAGGGCTCGTCGTCTCATGAACACAATCAGGTAGGGGTTTTGTTATAGCTCTTCCTCACCAAACCTTTGCTTTTGTTCATGTCCCGCCTCATCCGGGAGCGCGGAGCCTGCCCATGCCGTCAGCTTTCCCTCTCCCATGGAAGGGGAGACGCGTCCCTCTGCTCGGCATCCAAAAGCTCGCTCCCACCGAAACCATGGGAGATGGGCAACATCCCGATGTGCGGATGGATGCTTTGACGAGGAGCTTATTGCTCTGTAATAAAGGGGAAAATACATGGAGTGTCCCATTTATTCCTGAAGAGCTTCTTATTGCCACCTGTGCAAGGGACCTATCTGGAGCATCAAAGCTGACTTGGAAGTATGAGGTGTAGCTGCGCCGAGGGATCTTGGTGTGGCTGTGCTTCTTGGTTATGTGCTACAGCACAAGGATGGTGTTGCAGGGAGGAGGATTAAATAGCTGAGAGGATGAACTGGGAGAAGAAGTAAAACTGCATGCGCTGAGAGCCTGCGTTGGGTTTGCAATGACAGAAGCCAGGTGTTGAGTCAGTTTTGGTGGTTGTGCACGGTGTGAACATCAGTGAAGAGAATTTACCAAGCGCTGCTGGCATTGCTGGAGGTGGCTTTCTCTCCTCCGTGTGAGCACCGTCACGGGAGGGGTTTGGGTAGGGTGGAAGCATGGGTTTGACCACTGTCACGTGGTTGAGGAGCTGCTGTGCTACCCTGAGACCATCAGCCCTGTAAAAGCAAAGTAACGTTCACCCAAGGTTCGCCCATGAGCCCAAGTTGGCTGCAGGAAAGGGTGAAGCGGTATTTGCAGTTACTGTGGCTGGTGGATGTCCCACCTGGAGAAGGGGCTTCAGGCTGGTGGGTTTGGTGCCCTTGCCCTGCTTGATGTCCTCCAGTCTTCAGTCCCATTGCTGTGGCTGATGGATGTCCCACCTGGAGAAGGGGCTTCAGGCTGGTGGGTTTGGTGCCCTTGCCCTGCTTGATGTCCTCCAGTCTTCAGTCCCATTGCTGTGGCTGATGGATGTCCCACCTGGAGAAGGGGCTTCAGGCTGGTGGGTTTGGTGCCCTTGCCCTGCTTGATGTCCTCCAGTCTTCAGTCCCATTGCTGTGGCTGATGGATGTCCCACCTGGAGAAGGGGCTTCAGGCTGGTGGGTTTGGTGCCCTTGCCCTGCTTGATGTCCTCCAGTCTTCAGTCCCATTGCTGTGGCTGATGGATGTCCCACCTGGAGAAGGGGCTTCAGGCTGGTGGGTTTGGTGCCCTTGCCCTGCTTGATGTCCTCCAGTCTTCAGTCCCATTGCTGTGGCTGATGGATGTCCCACCTGGAGAAAGGGCTTCAGGCTGGTGGTTTTGGTGCTCTTGCCCTGCTTGATGTCCTCCAGGCTTGAGTCCCACATGTGGGATCCGTGAGAAGAAGCCTGGTAGCCCCTTGCAGGGTGGTACAAGAGGACGTGCTGGTCTAAGCACTGTGTATTACAGGTCCCGCATCCCGTTTTGGACACAGCTTCTTCCCACTCAGAGCCATGCTGGAAGCTGCTTGGCTGTGGGATGGGGGCTCATGCCTCCCCTTCCTGCCATGTGCCTGGATGCAAGGATGCTTGGGGCACCTACACAAACACCTGCACACAACAAAGACAAGATCTTGTTGTGTAGGAACGTGCGTGCTGTACAGAGGCGCTGCTTCAGATGAGCCTCTGAAGGTGCCAGACGGAATTGTGGATTTAATTTATTATAGCTTTGATCTGCTCCAAAATGTTCGGCAGCAAACCCTTGCCCGGGCTCCCTCCCAGCATCACAGCCGGCTGCTTGAAATTCAGCTGGGAGGCTGGCTGTTTCCGTTGAGCCTCCTTAGGTTGGTTGGGGCGTGAGCAGGACCCAGGTGTTTCCCCTGGGGAAGAAGGTCCCCGGCTCTTCACCCCAGGGCTCAGCTGGTGCACCAGTCTCTGCTGGGTACCACGGGAGGATGCGGGAGTCACGCATGAGTGATGCTTTCCTGACTCCAATCAGTGCAGCCCTGACATCTTCCACCTCCCTTGTGCCGCGCTTTCCTTTGTTTCAACTTGTGTGGTTTTTTATTATTGGCTTTTTTTGTTTGTTTTTTTTTTTTTTTTTCCTGAGCATTAAACCTATTTGATCTCCTCCAGCACGGAGCTTGTTTTCTATATACAAATAACATTCACTGATGCCCAAGCTGTTTTCCCTGCGTTTGGGCTCTCTCCCAGCCTGCAGCAGAGCTAATAATTATCTCTCTCCATGTTAGGCTTCCTTTAACAGCAAGTAACAAATTTTCCTTGGCACCGAAGAGGAGCTGCAAGCTATTGTTCTTCTGTCCAGGCAAGCGTTTCTCTTGCTGTTACTGATATACAAGTGAAACGCTGCTGGTGAGGGCTAGGGTCAGTTTATTACAATTTCTGGCTCTTGGTTTTTCACTAGTAGCTTTAAACATTAAAAAAATAAATAAATAAAAATTAATAAGGTGTTTGTCTTGAATGTAAATTATCACTGACTCTTCAAACCTGCTAAGAAAACAGCTGGCTAATTATTTCCCAAGAGATGTTAAGGGGTGGTTTTTTTGTTGCAATTTTTAATGGATTTTTGAGGGGTTTGGTTGGAAAATGGAATTTCTGGTTTTCCTGTTTTATTTCCAGCTGAGATTTCTGCATGGCTGGCTGTGCAATATGCACCAGTCTTAGCTGAAAAACGCTTGAATCTGAGATTTCTGCTGGCTTCAGCTACTGTGAAAATGTGGGTTACGTATCGGTGACCATGATATGCCTCACGCAGTTCTAACCTGACGATCAAAAAGGGCATTTGTATGGAAACCCAGGTTAGTCCTGGAAATATATTCAGCATCTGGTTCCTTTTCTGTGAAGGCAGAGTAGTCCAGGGCCACTTTTTCAAAGTAATTGGCTTCCTAAAGGTTATAGGGGAGCCTAGAGTGAAGCTGAGTTTTCCATGCCTGAAAATCCCCTGCTGCATCCCTAAGTACCTGATGCCTTTGAAATTCTTGTCTCTAGGATCCAGCAAGGTTAAGGCAAATAAAAGAAATATTTTTGTGTGTATATAGGTGTAGTATGTATTTATATAGACATTTAGGTATAATATCTGTGTATATAAGCATCCCCAGGATGTTGGGTAAGCATGGGGCTGAGAGCAATTCCTGGATAATGTGCAATGTAGGGGTAATAATAAGGTGTCTTGATGCAACCTGCAGTCCAGGATATTCCTAAATTGCTGTTTTCCTGATGTTGTTGGGTATCTCTGGGAAAGACCACCACATACTTGCCCTGGTCTTGCACTGCTTGGTGAGATGTCTGCTACTAGCAGCTGTGGGAGATTATATGGGGGTCAGTACCCGTAGGCTGACACTTGTCCGTCCCATACAAAGCAGTGGCTTAAAAATGGAGAAAATTCCCCCTGGAAACCTTTTACTCTGGTCTTTGCAGTTCTCTGGGCAGGTGGCTGCGAGAAGGTGGTCTGCTCATGGAGGATCTCATGAGATACATTTCATGAACTCCTGGTGCGCTGAGAAAATCCTGGCCTCCCAATTACATTCAGCTCATCCGTAATTCTCCTTGTTTCCTACTGCGAACGCTTTCGTTTGCTGCATGGCATTGCCGTGCTCCGCTGAGCCCCGCTGCATTTGAGCGATACCCCCCAGAAGGTCTGCTAGCCCCGTGTGAGCCTGTGGGGTGAAGACCACTCCATTGAGGTATGCAAGATCTATCTGAGCACCGTATTGCCTCTGTAAATGAGGAAAATTTAGGTAATGGAATCATTTTAAATGTTTTTATGTTTGGATTTTTTTTTTTTTTTTTTCCTAAAAAGACCCAGTGGGAAGATTTTATATAATACTTTATTTGCATTCCCCTTGTGAGGCTGTTGCAAGTAGGAAGCTCTTTGATATGTTTCTGAGAGCAATTCATTAAGTAAAAGACTTCTGGTATGGTATGTATTTAGAGAGCCAGCAGAGCTCTTGGTACATGAAAGGCCTGGCAGCAGCTCCATCCCAGGCTCCCCTTATGCAAAGGGCATTAACAAAAACCAGAGCAACTCTGTGGGTTTGTCCCATTTCTCCAGGCGGTGGGAGAGGGAGAGCTGAAAATCCTCCTTCCTGGCCAAGTCCATCCCTTTCCCCATGGTGACTGGCTCTCACCCATCGTCACCAAGCAGAAGGATGTGTTGTTGGCAGTAAATGGGACTGCAGTTTATTTTACTGCTTATTTGCATGTGTGTCCATCTCCCACCAGGTGCAGCAGGGACTTATTGCATGATTGGGGACCTCAGAGGCTTCTCAGGTTGATGGCCATGTTGCCTATCTACTGAGCAGTGAAGGAGCAGGCAGGATGTGTGGGTCACATCTGGATTATCCCATTCCCTGCTGGTAGCTCCCTTCTGCTGTCCTCCCCAAGGAGCTAGTGGTAGAGGAGACAACTTGGTTTGCTTTCCCATTAAGCCAGTAGAAACAGCAGCACGCCTGTGGCAGGGAGAGGTGGTGGGTTTCCACGCTTGGCCATTGGCTGGAGGTGATTAGCTGGTCAGGGTCAAGAGCATCCCAAGGGCTGTGCTATCAAGTTAACAGCATAAGATGTTGACTGTCCTGCGCTGTTCGCTAGCATGGAGAAGTAGAGGTCTTTGCAGGG